TTTGTCAATTTTAAAACCAAGGCTGAGCCTCCATTCTTAAAAACGGATGGGGACAGCCCGTNTGCCTTAAAATGTTCTGCCCAACGTTCAAGACGACGTTCCTGAATTTGAATTAGTGTGCCGTCAGACTCCTTAATTATCTCACTTACGCCTGCTTTCCTTGGTCCTGTACTCCTAATTAAACGAAAAAGATTGCGACTATTACCAATAGCTGCAGCTTTCTCCATCTCTCTACACTTTCCTACGCACCACGTCTCGCGGTTATTCCTTAGACTCTTGATGAGCTGGTGTTTAAGGGATTTGCGCGCTTTGTCGTATCTTGAATCCGATGGAATGGCTTTGCGAGCGATTAAGGGATTTGCGCGCTTTGTCGTATCTTGAATCCGATGGAATGGCTTTGCGAGCGTCCTTTTCGCGCTTTGTCGTATCTTGAATCCGAGGGAATGGCTTTGCGAGCGTCCATCAGGGCAACCCGAGGCTGAGAAGATCCATCGTTTTTGCTTTGATCGTGCGCCAGAGTTCGCTGTTGTTTTGATTGAAATTTGGATCACTTCCTTAATTGCCGACCAGTGTTCACTGAGTCCTCCAGCTGATTGTTGAAATGAGAGGCAATCTGATAGTTCCGCATCGAAGGCCGATTTGCAACTGTCGGTGATAGTGTATTGTGGACACCCGTTTTCGGCGGCTTTTCTGCGGTTGTCTGTCAGGCGTAGGGAGAATCTCGCTCATAGCAGAGCATGGTCCGTGTCTACGGGTGTTGACCAGTAGGAGCGGCAGTCTTCAATGGATCCTCTCCAGCAGTGGCTGATGGTGATGTGGTCGATTTGAGTTCAGCGCTGGGAAGAAGTTGGCGGTCTCTATGTAAGGCGGTGTCGTTTTTTGTGCGAGAAGTTCGTGCTTGACAGAAACAGTCCGTGGTCCCTCCATATGACAGCTCTTGCATCCTGTCTGAACTGGTTGTTTTTCATGCGAGACGTACCTCCACACCCAACAAACTTTTCATTTCTGTGCAAGTCTCAAGTTTATCTCGCTCCTGAAAACATGTTATGAGTAAAGCCCTATCGTCCTTTCCTCGTGTTCTACGTCTTCTATGTGAATCAACTTTGACCTCTTCCAACGATCAGTTTATTTTCCTTTTCTACAGTTTTCAAACTAAAGAATGTAGTCACAACTTTCTATACTTGCACAACAGTGACTGTAACTGAAGTTTGAAGTCTGGTGGTTTTACCGCTGAGAAGTGTTTACCATTACCATTTCTAAAGTGGGTAGCTGATACTGATTGCACAGATGGACACAGAAGCGATAAGAGGATACATTTACCAACATGGTCACGACGTAAATGCATGTGAAACAATGCCTGAACTAAGAACTTCATTTACAACTATGAGGACTGTATAAGTGAAATGACTCGCTTGCTCCCGTCTTAAAAGCATAAGCGGTACCCGAAAAAGATGCAGCTGGTGAGAACAATATCAATACAGAGCCCATAGAGGAGACAGTCCTGCGTTACATGTATATTAATAAAAAGCGCTTGGTTGGGAAATTGTGGAACATCGAGAGAATTGATATATTCTCCTTGAAGTAACATGTTACACTGAAAGGAACCAACAGGTCAGTTTAAACTTACTCTGTCTATGTGATGTTCGAACAAATAAGCCAGAACTCGATGAGCAGCCAAAACGATTTTTTGTTCCGTGTGTCTGCACAGCACATAGATCAGTTCAAGTTTCGGATGCAACCAAATTAAATTGGATGCCGTTGCACCACTTTCACTAACCAGGGCAGCCAGGTTGCTTAAAGCCTATTCAAACAGGTTTATATATGGGAACTGAAAAACCGAGAACTGACCGATTCCAATTTTTGTATATCTGAAGCTTCCTTATCAATCAGAGCAAACATGTCGTTAACTTTGGATGGAAGACTTTCGGCAACAGCAATTTTTGACGCAACGGTCATTTCTATTTTCCTGGCTAGATTTTGTGCAGCTGTATTTTTTGGTTCCAACTGTATCAGTTTGCGACTGTCTTCTAACGCCTGTTGAAGCTTGTTCAGTCGCTCGTAAGCTTGAGCTCGACGAAACAGGGCTTTGGCATCAGTTGGGTGAATTCTGAGTGCTGTGAAATCAAAACGCAATGGGTCAAACGGGGCTAAAATGAGGCGCTATACCTTCACTGGCGGCTGAAACAGCGTTTTCATAGTCCTCCAATTTCAGAAAAGCCTGAGCCTTGTTACGATGCAGAATGCAGCGAATATCATCATCCAGCTCTGTCTCCAACAAAGCTTGGTTGTATATACAGATAGCTTCCCGGTATGAGCCGCTTTTGAACAACTCATTCCCCTTATCTTTCAGAACACTGGCATTTTCCATGACCTGAAAACAGACGCAAGATACCGAGTTTTACAGTCAATCATTTCATACAGTGGAAATCAAAAAGGTACGGAAAAATTAAAATAAGCACCAAAACCTCAAAAGGAAGCACGAGAACATTTTTCCATATAATTCTGAGTTTCATCCGTGAATAGTACTTTTTTACTTTTATTTTACTACGGCTGGCTCCTTGGAAAGGATAAGCCGGATCCATGAATGTCTCTGATGGCCGCTATCCATGCTTGGGCCTCCCAAGGCCTCAGTATGGTTGGGGGTGGGTGTCTAGGGTTGCGGCTGGTCACCCTGTCCTTGCACCTCACGAAATGCCTCCATACGACCAAGCGTCTCAAATAGCCT